AAATAATATCCCCACAGCATCGTCCTGGCGGAGGATCGGTAATAAACTCCCTAAATACCCCCCCACCCCGCCTCAAAAATACCCCAAATAACACCCTCTCCCTAAATTACCGTCAGTAATAGCCCCCCCCCCAAAGGTTTGGTGGTGTATCAGTAATAAATACCCCCCTCAATATACCCCCTGGAGAAACAGCCCCTCCCCCCCCGACACACCTGTCTATATATACCCGCGAATAATAGCCCCCACCCACGCACGCGCGCACAGATACAGACAGAATTGTCCTGGTAATTGAATGGTAACAGCCACCCCCTTTGCACCCAATAACCTCCCACCACCCCCACCTTTGCTGCCCACCCCAAATTGTTTTCTAAGGTTGCTTGCATCTCACCTGGTTGAATTTTTCATGTGGTTGGCAGATTTCGTGGGAAAGGTTATCAGGAAGGGTTTACAGAAGGAAGTCATTTGGGAGAAACTGAGGGACAACGCTATGGTTTAGCAAATGGTGCCAAGATTGGATCAGAGGTAAGCTGTGAGAACAGTTGTACAGCAGTCATAGGGTTTAGCATGTTAAAGCAGTCTGTATTATACACAGTTAAACATGAGGGAATGCATTGTTGTTGGAGCTTGCTGTGAAAATTGATTCTAAAAATTCCTAGAATGCAATAATGATTATGTTTCAAAAGTATTTAATTGGCTATAAAGTGCTTTTGGTATGTCCTGAAAGATGCTAGATAAATACAACTCCCATCTCAATGCCTCCCTTCCAGAAGGAGCTGACTCATACTGAGATGTTATTACGCAGTCTTCGAATGCCTCCTGTTCCTCTCTCAAGCACACATTTTACATGAGTAATCCTGGAAGCTGGGGTTCTGTTGGAAATGCAGAATTGTGAAACAGTGACATAAATGAGTAAAGAAAGTCCTCCATAATGCATTTGTTGATTATTGTTTTCAGTTCTTTGCTTTGAATATTTTCGTAATATATCCCAAACTTGGCCCTGTTTGTTGCCATCATAGCAAATGTTTGGAATTGAATTTTTGGATAACTATTAACTGATTCTCTTCCTTAAAAAATATTATAGTGAGTGATTGGTTTTTGGCGGTGTTCTACACATCTGTTTGATTTGAATCACTAATTCTCAAGTGAAGCCAAAATATAGGAGGGAGTACAAGAAATTGCTTTGGCATATAGAATCAACCATGACCTAGCTGAATGGTGAAACTGGCTCAAAGGGCTGACACACCTACTCTTGTTCCTTTGAGGTCTCTTGTTGTGGTGTTATTACTTCCAGCACAAATCTAAATTTCATATCTGGATCAGCTGGAAAGCTACCAGACACAAATTTTAAAGTGTAAATGCTTCTTGACATTCAAGGATCTGTTGTCAAAGCTACAACTTTTATTTAGAAAACTTGAAACAGGATACTTCAGATCCTGGAAATCCGGAATAACTGGAGAAACCCAGCAGGTCTGGCAGTGTCTGTGGAGAAAGAAACTGAGTTAACATTTTGAGTTTGATATGACTGTTCACAATATTTCCTTTGGGACAGGTCTTAACATTCATACTGGACTTGAAACATTGACTCTGTTTCTCTTTCTACAAATGCTGACATATGCTGAGTTGCTGCAGCGCTTTGTTTTCATTTGTATTTATAAAACATCTTTAAAATAGTGAGTCTGAACACACTGTACAGAAGCATTATTTAATATTGAGCCTCATAAGGAGATATTCAAGCAACTAACAAAAAGCTTGGTCAAAGAGATATGTTTCAAGGAGTGGTTTAAAGGAGGAAAAGAGTTTTCTGAGGGAACTCCAGCACTTAGGACCTTAAGGCTAAGGTCCTAGTGCAATCTGATTAAAATCAAAATGCTGGAGTGGCCAGAACTGGCGAAGCACCAATATGGTAGACAGCTGTGGGTCTTGAGGAAATTTTAAAGATGGGTTTGAGGGTGGGGGAAGGTGATGCAAGGCTCTGAAACAAAAACTATGACATTTAAAATGGGTTTGTAATGTAAGTCAGTGAGGACATGGTAATGAATGAAAATGATTCTATGTATGTTAGGAAATGGGCAGCAGAGTTTTGGGTGACCTTCAGTTTATGGAGGATAGAATATTGAGTGCTAGCCAGAACGTGGTGGAACAGTCTTGAAGTAACACTGGAAGTGATGAGGCTTTCATCAGCAGATGAGCAGAGGCAGGGCAGAGTTAGACAATGTCACAATAATGGAACTGTGCATTCTCAAGTAATGTTGTAGATACATGTTGGAAGTCCACCACAGGGTCATGTATCCCACCAAGGTTGTAAACGATCTGGTTTGGCCTCAGACAATTGTCAGGGAGAAGGGTAGAGTTGGTGGAAAGGTAGTGCTTCATTATTATTAGTTACAGAGGAATTGTTTCAGTGACATAGCCTAATAACTAGATTATAATCTGAGGTTGACGTCTTTGGGGAATTTGACTGGGTAGGTGCGGCAAGTTTGTTTCCCCTTGCGGGACAGTTTAGGACCGGGGCAGAATCTCAGAATAAGGGTTGCCATTTAGGACAGATGAGGAATGTCTTGTCTCAGAGGATAGTGAATGTGTGGAATTCTTTACCATAGAGGACTGCAAGGCTGCATTATTAAGTATATTCCAGGCTGAGGCAGATTTTCACTCAGTGAAGGAACCAAGGATCATGGGAAAAGGGTTGGAAAGTGGAGTTGAGGATTTATCAGATTAACCATGATCTCATTGAATGTCCGAATGGCCGGTCTCTAATCCTATGTGTTATAGTTTTATTTATTGATAAAGAATACTCAAGTCATTGTAAAACTTGTATAATTTTGGGTCTGTACAGCAGTGATGTATTCAGAATAGTGTATTGTGTTATGGAATATCTCTTCAAACAGGTTGTCAACTCATGAGAGAGCTTGCTGTGTACAAATTGGCTGCCTAGTTTCATACATTTCAATATGACTGCCTCTCAGAATTAACTTGTTGGCTTTAAAGTACTTTGGGATGGCCTGTCCTTGTGAAAGATACCGTATAATTCAATGTCTCTCTTTCAAGGAATTTTGCCCTTTGCATTTTCCTGATCATTTTCTTTCTGCTCTCCAGGTTTCTTTTTACAAAGGTTTTGCCTATACCTGGAAGTGTCTTCTTCAGAATAACCAAGATGTTAAGAGCAGGTATGCGGACGGATGTTGAGCTTCAGAATTCTTGTGATGTTTAGTAGTCCTGTGAAAGGAACAACTGCAGTTGCCCACATGGAAAACACAACTGGTTTATTTACACAAACCTGTCATTGGTCTGTAAGGTTTTAGTTTTGTATGAGTGCTAAACTTGTCTCTTGTCTGAAGTAAAACTCTCTCCTTCAGTCAAGCCCTAAATCCGTCAGGGCTATATTCATGCTATAACTACAGTGTCAAGATGAAACGAGCTGAATGAGTGGGCACATGCATGGCAGATAAAATATAATGTGGATTATAATGAGGTTATCCACTTCAGAATCAAATGGCAGGAAAGTGTTATCTGATTGCATATTCCCCTCTCTCAATTTATAGCCAATGAGATCTGTGTGTCCTTGTACACCAGTCACTTAAGGTGAGCATTCAGGTGCACAGGGGTTGAAGAAGGTAAATGGTATGTTGGCCTTCAAAGCGAGACGATTCGAGTACAGCAACAGGAGTGTCTTGCTGCAATTACATGGCCTTGGTGAGACCGCACCTGGAGCATTGTGTGCAGTTTTGATCTCTATTTGTTCTGGCTATAGAGGAAGTGCATCAAATGTTTACCACACTGATTCCTGGGATGGCAAACTGATGTATAAGGAGACCTTGAATCAGTTAAGCTTATATTTTTTGGGTTTCAGAAGAATGAGGTGGGGTGGTGAATCTCGTGCTAAAGGGGCTAAAGGATATGGGAGAGAAGCAGGAACAGGTTATTGAGTTGAATGATCAGCCATGATCATAATGAATTATGGAGCAGGCTTGGAGGGCCGATTGGCCTTTCCTTCTATTTTCTATGTTGCTGAGACAAAACAATAGGTGTGATGTAAATTTTTAAAGCCCATTGTTGGGATGTTGGTATTACTGGGCCAGCATTTATTGCCCAGCCCTAACTGACCAGGAGAAGGTGGTGTTAAGCTTCCTTCTTGAATTGCTGCAGTCCTTCGGGTGTTGGGACATTTGCAGTGCTAATGGGGAGGGTGTTCCACCTGAGTTGCATCCCAGATTAAATTCTTTAGATATTATTGTAGTGTTAGAGATTAAATTCACTGTATTGCAAAAAACGTTTTTTAAATGTCACTGAATTGCATGTTCTTGAATTTTACTGTTCTTTGTAAAGAACATGCTTTGTCTTCTTGTACTATTGCAGGAAAAGGCTGAAAGTCCTAAATTCAATGCTGGAAATGGTTCATCAGTTCCCATATGAAGACCCAACTTACGACAAGTTACAAGAGGACCTAGAAAAGATGCGAGCTAAGTTTAAACAGGTTTGTGAGCCTACTAATTGCACTCAATATGATCTTTGTCAGAAATGATGAGAGATTCGGGCATGAGTACTTTTGACCTTGACCAGTGGAGTATGGTGATTATTGCTGCATAATTTGCATTATTGTACGGAAGTGAGTGCAGATTGACTCTTTCATTGGGCAGGAAGGTATTCTCGCAGTTGAGCTCCATCCTATTGTTGCTTAGTATCCACTTATAATATTTGTGATTTTATCATCATCCCCTTCTTCCTAAAGGCCCTGGTCAGTTGCACATCATAATCAGGCATTGACCCAGAGACATGTCCTTTTTCCCATGACTCTCATATATTGTGCAATCTGTTTCCTCATCAGATCTTTAAGGGAACTCATTGTTAGCACCATAAAGTAATTGTATACCAGTAAATAAACAATTAACAAATGTAATAAGAGTATGCAGAATTGGAACAGAGGTATACTCTTCAGTCTTCTCGAGCCTTCTCCTCCTGTCACTAAGATCATGGCTAATTCATTTCTGTTTCATGTTACACATTCCCATCTATTCCTTTCAATTCTCTTGCATATTGAGAAACTATTAACCTATGTCTTAAATAAACAGGTTCCTCTAGTTCTGGACTGACCCACAACATGTAACTTATTTTACATGTCCACCTTGTCAACACCATTCAGGATCTTGGACATTTCAATGAAGACACCCCTCACTCTTCTAATCTCCACTAGAAACATCCCAGTCTGTCCAACCTTTCCTCATAAGAAAACCCACTCATTCCAGGTATCAATCTAGTAAACCTTCTCCAATGGATTTATGCCCATCCTTAAATAAGGAGACGAAAACTGCACGCAGTTGTGAGGTGTTGTCTCACCAGTGCTCTGTGTAACTCAAGCAAAAAGCTCTTACATTTTTGTTCAGTTCCTCACATAATAAAGGATAGCATTCCGTTAGTGCTAATTACATGCTGTACCTGCATTCCAACTTTTTATTCATCTTGCATTGGATGACTCAAGTCGCTCTGCACCATGAAGATCTGTAGTTGTTCTCCATTTAAGTGATGCTGTTTTTGTGTTCTTGTTCCCAAAGTGACCAACTTCACATTTTTTTCACATCATACTCAAAACTGTCATATTTTTACCCACTCACTCAACCAATCTAAATCTTACACTATCCTCTCTGTGTCTAAACAACATAATATACTCTCTATATTCGTATCACCTGTGATTTGGCTACCGTGCCTTTACTCTCTTCTAAGTCATTAATGTGAATTGTATAAAGCTGAGGCCCCAGCACACACCCCGTTTCTCATGTCCTGTCAATTAGACAAAGACCCATTTATGCATGCTCTGTTTTATTTTTGCCTGCCAGTCAATCTTCTATCTGAGCTAATAGGGAAGTCCCTACCCCATGAGCTTTCATTTTCCTCAGTGACCTTTGCTGTGGCACATTATTGTATTGAAGTGAGTGCAGATTAATTCTTTCATTGGGCAGCAAGGTATTTCTTCTAGAAATCCAAGTACAGTATTCCTACAGGTATTCCCCTTTATCCACAGCTCATATTACTCCTTCAAAGAACTGCAATAAATTGGTTAAGCATTATTTCCCTTTGAATCTATGCTGACTGTTCCCATTTGCCTTGAGTGCAAGTGCCCTGCTCTAATTCCTTTAAATGATTAATTCTAACACTATTCCCCAAGATAGATATCAAACTAATTGGCCTATTGTTCCTGTTTTTTATTCCTCTCCCTTCTTGAAAAGGATCCTGATGGAAACTTTCCTGAATTGATGGGATCAAGGAAGATTAACTCTGATCTATCTACTAGCCTTCTCTTTTAAGACCTTAGGACAAAATCCATCTGGACCCAGAGACTTGTCGGCCTGCAGCTCCATCAGTTTGCTCAGTACCACTTCTCTGATTGTAATTTCATTAAGCTCCTCTTTCCCTCCACCTCCTGATTTACAACAACTACTGGAATGATTTTTGTATCCTCTACAGTGAAAACAGAAACAAAACATTTGTTCATTTCATCCACTGTTTCCTTATTACTTATTATTATGTCCCAATTTGTATTCTCTTCAGGATGAACACTCACTTTGCTTATTCTTTTCCTTTTCTAAATATCTGTAATAACTATTGGTATCTATTTTAACAATTGTAGTTAACTTCCTCTCGTATTAATTTATTCCTTCTCATTAACCTTTCAGTTATTCTCTGCCTTTCTTTATGACATGATATAATGTACCAATAAATGTTTCGATGAAAAGTAGAAGATAGAGTGCATCTCATTAGTGAAACAAGACCCTAATGATAGAACGGTACAACTCAGCATGCTATTCACTTTATGTAACATGTGCTGATACCTAGGAAATTTGGGAATATATGAAATAATTGAGCAACAGTATCTGATATCATGCAGTATTAATCATTCTTTCTCTGGTCTGCGAGCAGAGTCTTTTAAGAATTGGAGCTGAAACCACACACTGCATTGCTTCTTATTGGTCAGGAAATCCGTTTGAATCAATATATTTTGGTATTTAAGTTGCTGATACCTTACACATAGATAGCTGGCCTTTTTAAAGTGGTCACTGAACCACATAAACAACGCCCTTTGTACACTCACTTTGTATGGTACAGCAACTCCCTGAAATGAGAACTTTGTTTTATTTCTGATTTCAGATTTGTTCTCTGCTGAATGTCCAGCCTGTTTTTCAAAATGTAAGATCAGCTGAGATGTCCTTCTGAAGCAGACCATTATGCCTGACCTTAGTAACACTTCATGTTAAAACAAGTCTAGCTCTCTGTGCCTGAAGTGGAGGAAGAAACTGGATAAATTGAGATTTGCTCAGAAAAAGCAAACACATCATAACTACAGATTTTAATGTGATGTTGGAAAGTTATTCATTTGCTGCTGCAAGAAAAAGTTAATTTCAAATTTCTTTCACTGACCTTTAGAGATGACTGATACAGCCTTAACTGACTACTACAAAACTATGGGAAGGACTATCATTTTCTGCTGGGGACTTGAGGATTTTAATGAGATTCCAGTTTTTAGCAGTTTGAACTCAGTTTTTCTGGGACACTTTCATTGAACTTGTTCTTTGTAAGTTACTTGTATATTTCTAATTATTTTAGAAAATTAATAGCACAGCTAGTTCTCAATAACTGCAATGAGATAATGAGATGATGAGCAGATTATCTAATTGACGTTGCCCAAGGTATATATTGGACAACTTTGCTGCTTCAAAGTGGTACTGAGGAACCTTTCTATGCCTGCTTGAGAGGGATTGCAGGGTCTCAGTTTATTATTGTACCTGGAAGACATTGCCACCACACAACTGTGTACTGCACTGGATGTCATCTTGGATTATAAAATGAGGCCTCTAAAGTGAGATTTAAACTGAGGCTAACAACAAATCGTTCTGCTGACTGTATACAATAGATAGAGAGCAGTTCTATTAGTTAATAAACAAAGATTGATTAAATTTGTTATTGTAGTTGTAACAGCGATCAAAACCTCATGGTCAAAATATCTGAATGTAAAATTTGCAATGGTTTGTATTTGAATTTAAATCTCACATTGAAATTTGTTCATTTAATGAATTAAATTTAAAAATTAACACCAGTGCTGCTTGCATTACTCATCATAACAAAGGAATTATTAACCATAATCACAGTGTTGGGGGAGTGGTTGATGGGTGAGGAGAGCAAAACTTAACATGGAACGGCCGACCATCAGATCCCATCATAATCAGGTGGAGATTAGCAATATCACAAAACAAAATTAGCTTAAACTAATTATCATAGAATTGTAGGCTGCAGAAGAGGCCCTTCAGCCCATTATGTTTGCACCGACATGTGAGAAATGCCTGACCTTCAACCTAATTCCATTTGCGAGCACTTGGCCCTAGACTTGAATGTTATGACATGCCAAGTGCTTGTCCAAGTACTCTTTTAAAAGATGTGAGGCAATTTGCCTTTACCAAATTGGCAGCACATTCCAGACCATCGCTACCCTCTGGGTAAAAAATGCTTTTCCTCACATTCCCCTAAACCTCCTGACTCTTGCCTTGAACCTGTGTCCCTTCAACTAAGGGGAACAGCTGCTCCTTATTCACTTGGTCCATGCCTCTCATAATCTTGTACACTTCAATCATATCACCTTTCAGTCTTCTCTGTTCCCTTGAATGCAACTCAAGCCTATCCAATCTTTTCTGATAACTTAGTTTTTCCATCCCAGGCAGCATCCTGGTGAATCTCCTCTGCATCCCCTCCAGTGCAATAACATCCTTCCTGTAATGTGATAACAAGAACTGCACAGTACTCCAGATGTGGTCCCACTAAAGTTCTATACAGCTCCATCATGACTTTCCTGGTTTTGTAATCTGTGCCCTGAATGATAAAGGCAAATGTCCCATATACCTTTTTCACCACCTTATTAACATAACATTCCATCTTCAGAGACCTATGGACAAACACTCCAAAGTCCCTTTGTTCCACGGTACTTTCTAGTGTCATGTTGTTCATTGAATACTTCCTTGTGAAATTGCTCCTTCCAAAGTGTATCAACTCTCACTTTTCAGGGTTAGTTCCATCTGCCACTTACCTGCCCATTTGACCATGCCTTTTAGATCTTCTTGCAGGCCAAGAAACTGAACCTCTCTGTTAACTACCAAATGATTTTTGTGTCATCTGCAAACTTACTAATCCAAACCCCCACACAAGTCAGCTATCTCATTTACATAAAGATGAATAATAGAGGACCCAGATCCCTGTTGTATGCCACTGGACAGTGGCTTCTAGTCGCTGAAGCAGCCTTCTGTCACCACCTTCTGTCTCATAACTGACCCAATTTTGAATCCAAGTTTTTGAGAAGATTTGTAGATCAGGTTGTGGACGACTTGCTCGCTGAGCAGGTGTGTTTGGTTGCAGACATTTCATCACCCTGCTAGGTAACATAGTCAGTGTGCCTCCGCTGAAGCGTTGGTGTTCCGTCCCGCTTGTTATTTATAT